CGGCTGTGGAGGCTCGGCTCCAAGTCTCAAGACTATAAGTGGCATGAGTTTACCATTGCAAGTCGGAACTCCGAGGGCATCTGGACACAAAACGCTACCGGCCTCATCTCCGTCAAGTTTCGCACCCCAACCAACCCCATCTTTGCAGACGAAACTAGGGCCGAGACGGTGCGCCACCGAGAAGAGTACTACAAACTTGTCAGCATTGAGCTTCCAGTGGTGCCCACGGACGAGTTCTACTCTTCCATTGCAAAGCAGGGCGTGGATCTAGGATCGTCATTCCAAGTACTCAAATGCATAAGTTTCGGATGCTTCGAAGCTCACTGCGAACTCGTGGTGTCGGATACAGCGTCAGTCATGCCCGAGAACTATGAGCATCATCACATCATCCACCCAACCACGCTTGATGGAGCGATCCAAATGGCTGTTTTGGCTTCAAGTTCGAAGCTCCTCAATGTCGGCAACGCGAGGATTCCGCGGTTTATCGAGGGCATCTACGTCTCGGCCAAGGTTGCGCAATACCACGCTGGTCATAAGATGCTCGGGTACGCTCGATCCTGGGCGGAGGGGCGCGAGGTGGTTTATGCTGGAATCGTCGCTGACCCCAGCTGGGAGGAGCCCCTTATCAAGGTTGAAGCATGCCGTACAGTTTCTCTCGAGAAGCTTGGAGGCATGCAGCCCGTCCCTTCCGACAGCGACGGTGCTGCTTTGAGTTCGCTGAGGAAGATTGGTTCAAGGCATCACTGGGGGATTGATGTCGAGTTTACCAACCCGGAATCACTCGCCACACTTCTTCTCCGCTCAGTCGGCAATATCCCCGAAGTGGAGAATGAGGTTGTAAGGGACCTCGAACGGGCTTGCTACATTATCTGCAAGCGGGCCGTCCGAAGATTTGGGTCGCTCGAGTCGAGGCAATCGTTCAGCACGCATCACCAACTCTTTTTTGACTACATCCAGCGTCAGGTTGAGCGGGCCAATAACCATGGCCTGCCTTGCCAACACGTTGATGATGGCTTACCCGAGTCTACGTGCTGGGTCACGAGCTCCGACGAGCAAGACGACGAAATCCTCGCACGCGTGGATGCTGCCTCAATCGATGGCAAGCTCGTCTACAAAGTCGGGGTCAACCTTGAGAAGATTCTCACCGGCGAGCTCGAGCCTCTGCAAGTTCTGCGAGAAGACAACCTCTTGGGAACGTATTATCGGACAGCTCTTGGGGAAGATCGTATTCAGGCCATCATCGGACAATACGTCCTTCACATGTCTCACAAGGAGCCACTCCGAATTTTGGAGGTCGGTGCTGGGACAGGCGGAACCACTTCTGTTGTGTTTTCGGCTTTGGGGAAGCAAGCTGAAGCTGTCGGGCGAGTTGTCTCGTACACTTTCACCGATATCTCCAGTGGCTTCTTTGAGAAAGCCGCAGACGACTTCAGGGAATGGGCGCCGCTCATGGACTTTCGAGTGCTCAACATCGAGAACAACCCTGTCGCACAGGTATTTGAGATGGAGGCGTATGATATGGTTATTGCAAGCAATGTGTTGCATGCGACAAGCTCAATCGCCGATTCACTAAAGCATTGCAGAGGACTGCTGAAGCCGTAAGTCCGCCACAAACACGAAAAAGAACACTACTGACGACTCATCCTACAGAGGGGGTGTACTGGTTCTCGAAGAAGTCACCACCAAATTGGCGCGGGTACCAATGGTAGTTGGTGTATTGCCTGGATGGTGGAATGGTCAGTTCAACTCAGTGGCTCAGGGGTGTAAACAAACAGTACTGACCCACTTTTTAGGAGAGAATGACGGTCGGAAAGAGGGACCCCTCATCTCAGAAGCCGAGTGGGATACACAACTGCGAGAACAGGGATTCAACGGTTTACACCTTTGCTTCCGCGACAGCGAGAAGCTACACCATCTCAAGTCCTTCATCGTGTCGGTTGCTGCGCCTCAACCGCCACCCTCGTCGCCAAGACACGTCGTCATTGTCAAGCCCAATGTCGAGGATGGTTCGGTCTCTCGCTTAGCTGCCAACGTCGCTCGGGCTCTTTGGCACGATGAAACCACAACCGTAGAGGAGATAACCCTCGCCGAGTCGAAGCCAGCGGATCTGACAGGCAAATTTGTTGTCGTCGCCGTTGAAGCTAACACTCCCCTTCTAGCCACAAGTCGTCTGACGGACCATGACTTTGACGACATTAAGAGCCTCATTTTAGGCTCTCAGAATATCCTGTGGCTAACAAGAGGCGGTTCTATGGAATCGACAAGCCCAGAAGCCAATTCGATTGTGGGAGCTGCTCGCACTGTCCGTGGAGAGAACCCCAACGTTCACCTCACGACTTTGGATCTCGACCCCACTGAAGCACTGGACTCGAAAGCCGCTGCAGCGATTGTTTCGAAAGTCCTAAAAGCCAAGAATGATACCGCCAACACAGAGTTTGAGTACGCGGTGCGAGACGGACAGATCCAGATCCCCCGGTTGTACTCCTCAGCAGAGCTCAGCGATGTCTTCCACAATCCCAATGACGGCCAATCAGCTCAGTCCACCAAGCTCCCCGCCGCCGCTCTGCTACCTCTGAAAACACGCAGGCGATCGGGCTCTCGCTCTAGGCATCGGAACTCCAGGCGCGCTCGATACCCTCTAATACGTCGACGACCCATCTCACTCAGAGCCACTTGGCCCCAATGACATCGAATTATCCCTTGGAGCAGGGGCCCTCAATTTCCATGACTTCATGTTTGCCATGAATAATGTTGATAACAGCCTGGGTGAAGAGGATGGGTTGGGAGCCGAGTTCTCTGGAGTTATTACCCGTATTGGCCAGGCTGTCACCCGCCACGCCGTTGGGGATCGGGTGCTGGGTATGAAGATCGGCTGCTGGAGGACACATGTGCGCTGTCACGGGACCTCCGCGCAGAGGATCCCCGACACTATGTCGTTCGCCGAGGCGGCGAGCTTCCCATCTATCTATGCGACAGCGATCACCTCACTGGTCTACACAGCCAGGCTGCAAAAGGGAGAGACGGTCTTGATCCACGCCGCGTCTGGCGGATTCGGCCAGGCCTCTATCGTGATGGCGCAGCATATTGGTGCTGCTGCTATCTATTGCACGGTGGGCACTGAGGGGAAGAAAAGGTTGTTGATGGAGACGTATGGGATTCCGGAGGAGCACATCTTGAACAGCAGGGATCTCAGCTTTGCAGCTGGTATCAGGCGACTTACCAACGGCAAGGGTGTGGATGTCATTTTGAACTCCCTCGCGGGAGAAGCCTTGCGGCAGACTTGGCTTTGTATGGCGCCGTTTGGAAGGTTCATTGAGCCGGGCAGGCAGGATATGTGTAGGTATTTCTCTCAGTTCTGCTTGAGCTTAGTGCTGACAAGTTGCAGTCGGAAACACCGGACTCGATATGGCACCGTTCTTGTGCAATACCACATTCGCTGGTGTGAACATGAGGGGTGTCATTGCCCCCGGTCCTCGCTGCGCTCGAGTCGCGGAGGACGTCATGAGATACTACCACGAGGGAGTTGCCAAGATTCCGCAACCAGTCAATGTGATGAGTTTTGCGCAGACGGAGGAGGCTTTCCGCACAATGCAGTCAGGGAAGCATATGGGCAAGATTGTGCTCACTCCAAGCCCCAATGACATTGCCCCAGTACGTTGGCCCTGCTTTTGTGAGTTATAGACGCTGACTGGTGGTTCCTAGATGGCTCTTCGCAAGCCCGAGGTTACACTCCGCTCCGACGGCACGTACTTCCTGCCGGGTGGCCTCGGCGGCTTAGGCCGCTCGCTCGCAAGGTGGATGGCGGAACGAGGGGCTCGCCACATCGTGTTCACTTCGCGCAGCAGTGCGTCCAAGCCTGAAGCTCAGACTTTGCTCAAGGAGTTGGAGGAGCAGGGTGTGAAAATCAAGGCATATACCTGCAACGTTGGCAACCGCGCCGAGTTCAAGTGTGTCCTGAATGACATGTCGGAGTCGGGGTTCCCCCCTATCATCGGCACCGCCATCATGGCCATGCAGATCCAAGACGTCTTCTTCGAGAACATGACTGCCGCTGACCTACAAGCCGCACTCCGTCCCAAAGTCGACATCACCAAGAACTGCCGTGACCTACTCCCAAAGCAGCTAGACTTCTTCATCTGCCTGTCCTCTGTTGCTGGTTGCGTCGGATCCAGAGGCCAGGCAAACTACAATGCCGGTAAGCTCTTCCCCTCCCCGGACAACCTCCAACTGACCTTAAGCTCTCAGGAAACACCTTCCAAGACGCTCTATGCCGCCACCGCCGTTCCCAATCACTCAAAGGTACAAGCATCAACCTTGGCATTGTGGGTGATGTTGGTTATGCAGCCGACAAATCCGCCGTCCGCAGTTTTCTCACCAAAGGCGCTGCAATCTGGCTCACCGAGAACGACGTCCTCGCCGCCATCTCCTCCTCAATCTCCGAGTCCCTCTCCTCCGACCCGTCCTCGTGTGACTTCCTCTCCAATGCCGAAGCAGTCATCGGCCTCGCTACGGGTGGCCTCATAAAAGCCGGTGGTCACGACGACCCCTACTGGTTCCACGAAGGACGCTTTGCCTGTCAAAATCCACGACACCCAGGAGCACTTCCAACCTGGCAGCCAGGCCAACCTCAGCCAGGGTACAGCCACGGAAACATGGGAAGACATCCGCGCCGCGCTGGCTGCAGCCAAGACCGATGAAGAGGCAGCGGGTGTGGCACTTATGGCGCTGAAGCGCAAGCTAGCAAGGGCGATGATGATGGATGAGGTGGATTTGAATCCAGAGAACGCGGCCAATTCGTACGGGATCGACAGTTTGGTGGCGGTGGAGATTCGTTCTTGGGTGTTCAAGGAGTTGCGGAGCGAGGTTTCAGTGTTTGAGATTCTGAGCAATGCGAGTTTGACGGCGTTGGCGGGGATTATTGCGGGGCGGCCGACTGTTAGGAAGGGAGAGGAGGAATGAAGGATGAGGGGAGACAGGCAAAAAAAAAAAAAAAGGGGGTTTGGGCGGGCCGGGATTCGAACCCGGGACTCTCGCTAAACGCTGAAAACAACGCTGATAACGCTTAGTTGACACGCTAACCACTACGCTACCCGCCCAACTACCTCAAGTCAATTTTCTAGGCAAATAAGGGGCTGTCGTTTGTTCGGATTAGCTAGGTTGATGACCAGGTGGCGGAGGTTGAGGCGGATCGTGGCGTTCCACAGGAGAGGGAGTAACTGATGGACATGTGAACATAGGCACAGGTCGATAGGCTTGAAGACGATGCGTGTATTGACATGGAAACTACCAAACTACTATATCATACAACTGAGAAATACAGCATGCCATGTCCGAGTTTTTCATACTACTGAAAGTTGTCCATTTTGTCCTCAACAACATATGGGTATCGAGGGGCACTAATATCAAGGTTTCACGTTGAAAATCTAGTAGATTCAAACTACCAAGGCTATCTTTGAGGATACGTGCCTCGAGAGGAACCTGGAGCTTGGCCTTGGGGAACGGGCTGATAGGTATATGTGCATGTACCAGCAGCAGGAGGTTGGGCTTAAGCTTGGGAAGGTTGCTGATACGCTGGTTGCTTGTAGACAGGCTGTTGGTAGGCAGGTTGCTGATAAGGAGTATAGACTTGCGGTGCCTGAGAATATTTATATCCAGAGGTTGAACAGCATACGTCGGTGATCTTCCTCCTTTACCACCAAAGAGGGCGTATCCTGTATGGCTACTGTTTATCGCCTGGGCCTAGGATGGTGTGACACCCGGCCAGTTTGAGTGTGCGGTAGGAACGGCGTGGAGCGGGCAAGGAGAATTTTGGAGAGTCATATTTTCTGCTGGCGTTCTCACCGACGCGGCGACAAAGTGTGTAGCAGGCTGTTGGATTTGGTTGAAGTAGGCCTGAGTTCGGGCTTTTCGTTGTGGGTCTGACATTTTGGTTACTGCAAAAGGAATGAGACATTTGGAGATTTATATACCTTCTATTTCAACCACGCGACTGTCGAGGGTTAGCTGAGGTAAATATAAAACTAAACACAAGGCAGAAAGAAGTTTTCTCTATACAGTTGGGACACTCACCTCATCGATCCCGCGGCCTAGAAAGGGGTCCATGCAGTAGAATCAGCCAGCCAGAAAGAGCCGCAGACTGCACGGTCTGTTCGACCCCGCGGCCTGTCAGCCCACCAACTCAGCTAAGCATCTCACCGCAAACGTGATTTCCAAGTTCACCACGGCGAGATGGACCCGCTGTCCACCGCCGCCTCTGCCTTTTCCCTCGCAGGCGGCATCGCCAAGGCCTTAGTAGCCCCCATCGAATTCTCACGGCAAGCGTGTGATGCCGCCGCCGATCTTGATGCCATCTCGCGCGAGATACAAGTGCTAAATGCCGTGCTCCAACCCCTAGTGCAATGCACCAGCCAGGGGCGATCTAGGTCATCCATCCCCGATGCACTTGCTGCTCAGATTGGATCCACCATTGACGGATGCAAGCTTGTGGTCGGACAAATTGAAAGAGAATGTTCGGGCTTATCACCGCGATAATGTGTGGACGAAGACGAAATGGGTCATGCTTGGCGAGGCTGACTTGCAGAAGCTGCGGGATAGCTTGGAGGCCTACAAGATGGCCTTGAGCTTGGGGATGCACGCTGTTGGGATGTGAGTTCCAGATTTCTTGAATTATACTTGACAGGAATATTGAGGACTGGTGGGGCCCCTTTGGATTTCAGTTTTAAACTTTGAATTCATCATTCTGGCAACTACCACCGGAAGAACAATGACTCACCTTGCAAAGGAACCTCAACCAAGCAATCAAAGACAACACCGACGACATCCAGAAAGAGATCGCCGGCATCCGCGTCAACGTCGATGAAATCCTGCTACGCGTCAATGGAATCCGCCAGAAGGGCTCCACCAGCACCAGAAACTCTAGAGTGGAGCATTAGATCGAGGAGATGACGCTATTCAGTTCGTATGCGGAAACGACCTACCAAGAAACTCTGTACGAGCCGACCGAAGCAGGAGAAGAAGCCGAAGAGACTACCGAGGCAACCAAAGCAACTGAGTTACCCACACCCGCAGTCACCAGATATTCAAGCGGCAACGCCCCTCGCGCTGTTGACCGAAGCGCCCCGATCTCTCCAAAGTGGGTTACCAAACACCCACTGCTGGGTCCAGAGAAGGCGGATTTTGAAAACGACATCAGACCAACCGAAGCTGCCGCCAAGACACACCTTGAAATCAAGCTTGCCTCCAAACTTCGAGACTTCAGGCTCGACACGTCAAAGGCCATCGAATTGCAAGCCACCCCTCCGCCTTTGGCTCCCAAGGAGACCAGTCTTGACAAGCCGTGTGGGAGATTTCATGATGAACGTGTGCGAATTTGGGTTATTATCCGAGACGTCGAGATGCACATCGACCGAACCAGCCATCTCACCTCTAATTCTGAAATGTCTGTCATCCGCTGATCACTGCCTCAACTTCAAACCCCGCAGTGAATTTCATCATCTTCCCAACACATATGCCATGGCCCGAGAGATTTCCGAGCTCTCTAGACAGCTGCAAGCAGGTCTCAAGCAACATGCAAACAAAACCCCTCCTCTTCCTTTCTGCGAATTAGAGCCACTTCTAACAGCCGCCATCTTCAAGACACGTCAATTGGGAAGCCAAATCATTTCTCCTCTCGAGACGGTAGCATTGGCAACATCTGAGGAGCCCATATCACTGCTGCTAGAACACAGTGAGCGACTGCTCGACTAGGAGAAATACGAGCAGCTGAGCATGAGCGGCCAGCCCCCCAGCGCAAGGCTCGATGGCAAAGCTACATCCTTCAAAAGGCTTGACTTAAGGCTGAGGGAGGAATTGCCCAAACTTGTGGCTCTCACAGCACGAGTGGTTATCCTCTGCGTCGAACGGTTGGCACGCCTCCAACCCGACTGGTAGAGATTTTGGGTGGCGTGCCTGCTGGAGACATTTGGTAGTGCATATCTGGATCCCTGTCCTGATTTTGAGCGCATCGCTGAGAAGTGTCTGAAAAACTACCGGCCTGCGGTAGCTTGGGGGCGTCCGGAAGGGCGAATGAAGATACTTCAGCCGCAATTGTGAATCAACATGTAGTTTGGGTATATAAGATGGATTTCCAGACAATACCCTATGGTTTATCAAGGTTTTTCTTGATCGTGACTCTCAGACACCGTAATGGGTATGGTGTTGCACTCCGTGGATACAGGGTGGATCAAAAAGAGTTCTCCACCACGGAGAATTTTTATGCAAAAAGAAATAGCTCGCTGCGGAGCCAACGCAATGATCAAGCCCGGGTTCGATCCGGAGACCTTCAGTGTGTTAGACTGACGTGATAACCAACTACATCACTCGACCGTTGAGATGTTGATGTTTGTTCCTCGAAAATTGTTCATTGCAAGGGAGAGAGCTCCGCTCGCTACCCAGTTGCCAGCCTAGCATACAAGACCCAAAGACTCTGATACTGAAAGTTTGCTGCCGATTGCAGCGCTTTCCTTCTCCAGCTATCCTGTGACTTGAACCAACGGCGAATATGCCCAACTTGGAAATCTCATCGCATCTCGATTACCACTCCCACTCAGTTCTCTCGCGCTTGAACTGGCGAGATCCGGATGAAGAGGCCTGGGCGTCTGCAGCCCTCTTTCTCTTCTGGGTGATGGCGCGGTAGGGCTTGAAATCGTCCTCGGAATCGTCCTGACCATCGTCCCAAGCTGCGAGCCTGTGTCGGCGAGCCTGATTGGGTTGTTTGTCAGCTTCGTCCTCATGAAAGCCGCCGAACCGCAACAATGGAAGATATTAAATAATCGAGGTTGCGTTTGGAGAAATGCGATGAAAATGTGGAAAGAAGCGCAACAAATTGAAGCTGAATGGCAGAAAAACTCACCCCGGCAATTGCAGCAGCTCTCTCAGCCTTTTCAACCTTCTTGTCCTTGCGCCACTCGTTAAACTTGCGGTCTCTCTCTCTGTAACTAACGGTGCGCGACTCCGCATTGGCATTCTCGTTCCGGTCCTCGAGGTCTTGACCGACATCTTGACCGATTACCAGCGGGGCATTCATCTCCGACGGCGACGACGACTCCCGCGAAATCGGCGCTGCCGACTGCTTGCCAGGCCACAGGCCCACGATCGCATCCACGGCCTCATCGGCCCTCTTCCTCCGCTCATCGATAATCCTCATATTCTCGAAATAGTACCTTCCATAAGAGTCCGACTTGTCCTCTGTGTACTCACTGGACGAAGCGAGGGCCGTCAGCTCTGCGGCCCAAGGGAACTCTGCGTCGCCGTAAAGACCTAGAGAAAATCAGAATGAACAGTTGGTAAACAATGCTGATATGGTGAACGTACCGCAGCGGACGTAGACCTTCTTGCAGACGAGAAGGTCGACAAATTCATTGCTGACGTCCCAGTAGTCCCGTCCGGTATTGAAGAGGGAAACACAAACCTCCTCCTCGGTTTTCTGGAGCTCTTTGACTGCACCCTGCTCAGAAGAAAAGCCCATGCCGAACTGCGACACAGGGCGAAGCATCATTTCGACCAGGCCAGTCTTGTGCTCCTCGCTGAGGGAGGAAGCCATGGTCGAGGTTGAATTGACGGAAGTTGTCGCGGGTGGGTTGTGTGGAAGGGACGGCGGAGGTTTCCGCTCAAGGAGATGGAGGTGGATTTTTGAGGCAGGAGGGAAAAGGTAAGATGTTGGTGAATTTGGAATTTATTCGCGTCACCGAGAAGGTCGCGTCCAACCTCGCGTCACGGGAGCCTTCGGACGAAGCTACACGGTGTTCATTCTAACGCGACTGGGACATTTGTTACGAAGTGCTACTACACCTTCAGTGTGCAACTGAGCCATCACAGCTGCTGGTCACAAACCAGTTATACAAGTTATGGTAGCATGAGTATTCGTGACACATGACGTTTCTTCAGACTCTAGCAGACTCAATCTATGGGCGCACCAGCAACCACTCGTTATTATACATCTCTCGGCGCATGCAATCATCTGGGACGAGCGACAACGCACCAGAAACCACGGCAGCAAGGCAATCACTTTTAACCGTCCCCGGCTTCTCCTCACATGACGACCTGGGCTCGTGTCAGT